AGGGAGTTTTTCCAACACCCTTCCTGCCATCAATTTCCCAGTCCTTCCACTTCCTCTACTGAGTGCTGTGGATTTCTCCTATGGAGAGGCAGACGGGGGTGCTTTTCTTTTGAACCTTCTTGATTCTGGTTAGTTCTGCTTGACCTTGTAAGAGTCTTCTCTGTCTTGTCAATGTGTGTTGGCAGGCGTGGATTCCACATACTGACGGTCCTTTCTCTCCTTGTAGACTCAGTGGTTTGTCCCCATTTCTAGGAGAAACAGACGCAGAGACCATGAATTTCATTGTGAACTGTAACTGGGATTTTGATGCTGATACCTTTGAAGGGCTATCAGAGGAGGCCAAGGACTTTGTCTCTCGGTTGCTGGTCAAAGAGAAGAGGTACCCTTTACTGCGTATCACCCGTGATCCATTCTGATGGTGACCATCCATCTGGATGCTGTGGAAATCAGGCTGTGCTGGGCACGGCTGCTGAAGTGAATGGTCCTTTTGTCCTATAGACCAGTTCTGTCCAGGGGATTACTTAGTCTGCTACTTCTTTGGGAAAAAAAGGTAACAGGGAAAGAGACAAAAGAAATCAATTAAGAAACAAGTGACTAGGATCATAAAATCTAGACAGAGTTTTAGAAAGGACCATATTTACAAATTAGGCCTATTTCAAAGTTATCACTTTTGATAGGCAAAAAAGTTGAGATATGCAGTTGTTATTCCCCAGAATAAAAGACATAAAACATTATTTCTTGGAGATGAAGACCTACTTACTTTTCAGTAGGTTTATCAAGGTCATGGGTTAGACCACTGAGTTTTCCAATACTCAGACATACGGGAATAACTGCAAGTGGTAACGCCCAAGATCTGGGCTCTGAGGTAGCTCTCATTCCCTGGCCATGACTGTTTTGTTTCTTCCTGACTGTGAAAAGTTATGTGTGATGAAAAATATTTCTAATTCAGAAGAACAAGTTGACATTATTCTCTGTGAAGTTCTTTTACTTCTTGAGAGCAATTCCAGGCTCACCTGTCCCCCCTTCTGTTCTGCCTCAATTCCCCAGCTCTACTCTGGGAGATGGTAATTAATCACTGGGAAATACATCTTCCATAGAGGGCTGGGAACATTTTGCTGATGACATTCTTGCACTTTTAAGGATGTGAATTTTAGGTAGGAGGATTTTTTTTTAAGTATGTGGCATGAATCTGCCCAAATGATTAATCTCTTCCACTGACTCAGCTTCCTACCAATTGAACAGATTTTGGACAGCCAGAAAAGGCAACCCCAGCTAAAAGTCTCACCTGCTGTTTGATTTCACAGTTGCAGAATGAGTGCCACACAGTGCCTGAAACATGAGTGGCTGAATAATTTGCCTGCTAAAGCTTCAAAATCGAAAGTTCATCTCAAATCCCAACTATTGCTGCAAAAATATATGGCTCAGAGGAAATGGAAGGTATCTGTTTTTCTTTTAGTAAACACAGTATTTGTCTTCTTTAAATGTCCTGTGAAAGAAATGTACTAAGTTTTTAACTTACATTTTGATTCTAAATAGATTATTTAGGGAGAAAAAAGCCTCATGTCAAAACCTATTAGCTTGATTAAAAAAATGCCTCAGACCAAAAATGACTGGCATAAAACTAGCATTTAATTCATACTTATGTGAACACTTGAAATGACAGCGTGAAGTTTGAACATTTGTTCTCAGTGACCACTGCAGTGAAGTGATCAGAACTAACTGCCTGTAGTTTGAGGCTGATTCCTCCACATTCCAGAAAGAGGGCCTAGGAAAGCCCAGAAGTGAAAGTGTTAGCCACTCAGTTTTCTCCGACAATTTGTGACCCCATGGACTGTAGTCTGTAGTCCACCAGGCTCCTCTGTCCATAGAATCCTCCAGGCAAGAATACTGGAGTAGGTAGCCATTCCCTTCTCCAGGGGATCTTCCCAACCCAGGTACTCAACTTGAGTCTCCTGCATTGCAGGCAGATTCTTTACCATTTGAGCCACCAGGGAAGCCCTGTTAGGCTTTAAAAGCTTAATAATGTTGTTTACAACAGAACTGTTTGGAACCATGGATGTAAAATGTATCTTAAAAACAACTGTCCCCCAGAGAAGTGACTTTCCAATATTTTGGTGTTGGCTTAGATCCTCAATAAAGCCAGCATACAAGTATATGTATACTCACACATGTGTGAAACAAAAATACTGTGACTTTTACTCCACAGAGTATGATGAGCCCTGATATTTTCTACTCTATGATATTTAGTTTCATTAAAAATTTTCCAATCATGCTCCATGAATTTGATTTCATGACTCACTGGTGGGTTGTGCATTACAATTTAAAAAACACCATTCTAGAGTGCTCCATTTTTCACATGAGAAGGGCAGGAGAACATATTTTCTCACTTCAGACTTGCTCCAGACATGCCCCAGAAAGTCATGTGACTGTTTTACTATAGTTTTGCTAGAATCTTCTTTTCCCCTTTAGTTATCAATTTTAAACAAACTCAAGTGGCTAAATTTAAGGTAGTCCTTTTATTGTTTCTTCTTAAAGTAATTGGTCTAACAATATGCTTCCCTCCTCTTTTTTTTCTCTCCCCTGCTTAAGAAACACTTCTACGTGGTGACTGCTGCCAACAGGTTAAGGAAATTTCCAACTTGTCCCTAATCCTCAACTCTGCTGCTCCCATGAGCCTAGAAATTACTGGGACTGGTGGTGAAATCATGACTGAAGATTCCTAATAATCTGGCTTTCTACTTATTTTGTTTCAAAAAGGTTATGACTGTTGCCATCCTTGTGGATGAAAAGTGGCTGTAAGAAAGTGACCTAAGAATTTTTTCTGCCTTGTAAGATCACTGAGTTGAAATGCTGTGGTTACTTTTCAAGTGTACCTACTTTTGGTGATAAGTATAGGCATGCTTTAAGTAGTAGGTAGGAAAGCTCCTATTTTGCTAAAGTCAACTTTAAAGTCAGCTTACTTTGATTAAAGAACCCAGTGGACTATCACACAGGGCATGTTAGTCAGTGTTACCTCCTCCAGTTCAGAGAATTCCTAGCGTCTTGATTTGCTCAAAAGTGAGCTGACACTTTGTACTACATTTGTTGCTCTAGTGTGAAGCAATGTAGATTTAGGGCAGAGATCCTCAAGCTTGTTTTAGCTTGTACTCCCTTTCAAGAATCAAAACATGCATACCTCTACCCTCTCTTAATTCTGCCGCGTCCTGACACTGGCAGTCTCCATCCTAATCTGTCTTTCTCAGTTATGAATCTATGGTCTAGTAAGTCTGGGAACTGATATGTAATATGTGAAAAGAGATATGTAATATGTGAAAAGAGAATGCAATGGTGTTCAGCTTTCTGAAAGAAACAGAAACGATGCCTGTGAGAAATCAAATGAAAACTGCTCTCCTCCTGCCTTATGGGGATAGAACCATCACTTAACTAACTTCATGAGATGAGTAACAAGGAATGCTTTATTATTCAAAAGTAAATATTCCTTTTAATTTCCTCACTGCTAACTTGACTTTCATGGTATTCCCCATGACCTTCTTGGGTCAGCAGTTTTTACTTTTAGTTTTTAATTAG